CCCTCCCTCCCTCCCTCCCTCCCTCCGTCTCTCTCTCTCTCTCTCTGATTCTTTCTACTTGGGTCGAAAAGCAGGAGCATGATCTGGGTCTGGGTTGTTTCTATCCGGAAATATTATCTGGTGGGACTTAGAAAGCAAAGCTTGTCCTCTGGAACACCATTTGCCCTGAAATTCAGATAAATATTTCATAGATCCTTAAAAACATGCCTGTGTCCGTGTTCTCTCCAGTGTGGTAATTGGCAAGTTAATGGGATTGGTGAGATGAATATTTATTTGTAGTGATTGTTGGTTTTTGCTGACACTATATATTTATTACTGTTATCATTGGTTATTTTTAGTGAGTATTCATTCTGTGCATCTACGCAGAATTATTATTAGAAAATATGCAGCCATATAAATTGATTGAAACAAGTAAACAAATAGCATAATACCAAGCAGCCAGATTCATCTTAGTTCAGCTACATTTTTCTTTTTCACCTCAGTGCCTGAAAGCTCATTTAAAAAATTATTCTGGAATACACGGAGGGAACTGCTTTTATTTCTGGTGTGAAGGCATACGATAGGGTAGAAGCACCAGGTAGAAGCACCTGAAGAAAAAAACTTGCCTTCAGATGTAACTTCATATCTCAGACAGAGCAGGGACTCTTATTAAATACTCTCCAAAGATAGCGGTATGTCTTCGAAGGACAGATTCTACCTGTATCAGATGATATCAGAGATAGTCAGATTCTAGGAGCTAGGCCATGTGCAGCCTTAAAGGTGATGACAAAATGCCTTGAATTGTGCCTGGAAATAAATAGCCAATGAATCTCCTACAGTATTAAACTTATTTAATAATTGGGTTATCCTAGTTAAATTCACAATAAAATAAATACAACCTTAAATATATACCTGTCAAATTAATTGAACGTCCAGTTTTGTACTAATAGTTTCTTGGTGTTATTCAAGACATTCCCATTTAGGTTGCATGACAGTAATGAGACAACAAAGGCAGAATGACTGTTTTCAAAATTTTCTACTCCAGGTATGATCACAATTGACACTCCAGAGACAGCTGAGTGAAGGCTCTATTGTCTATGGTTTCCATCTAATGTTCATACAGAAAATAAGAGTCTAGGAGCAGTTGTGGAGTCCTCGTTTAATGAGCCCAAGTGGGAACAGAAACTCAGACAGTAAGCAAAACTGAACTGTGCTTATAATCTTTTGGTTTCTTTGCTTTAGAGACTTATGAAAATTGGTGGTAACTTTTCCATCAGTCATAACTGTGATTGCTAAACAAGACAATTGCTAAATAAGATCTACCTGTAATCTATTAAAGAGTTAGATTTGGTATTCTCCGGGTCAGTTGACTTAAAGATCCAAAGTTACTTTACCTTGCTAGGAGTGTACAATTTTTTTTATCTGCTTGTTAAGTTTCACATTTTAAAAAATGACTTTGATGTAGATTTATAAGTGTATTTAATTAGGGCCAGCTTTCTACATCCCAATTGATATTCCCTGATAGACAAAACTCAGTGCATTCAATAATTTATGTTGAAAAAAGGATGTGTATTGATTTTAGCATTCATTATTTTTTCAATGACAATACCTTTCTATAACTTGTATTTATTTCCATTTTAAGTGACGCCTCCCAATGGCATAAAATTAAAGATGTATATTTTAGGTTGTATAACTTTTAAAAACTGTAACTTTTTATCATTTATGTTTGTACTGTAATTTGTCAACTATAATGCTGACCAGCCTATAAAAAGATCTGAAATATCCCAATGGGTAAGTCAATCGAAATGAAGCATAGTTCTTCTTGTTTTTCCTTCTCACCTGCAAGGTGACCTTTCCTAAACCGAGGCTTTGACTACAAATCAGGAGAACTGTAGTCTGGTTCAGCAACAGCTGAAGAGCAACAAATATTGCAAACTAATGCTTAAAACTGGCAAAGGTACACTGCCTATTAATATGTAGTGTCAATAATCTATTATGCCTCAGGAAAATTTTCACCTGGCATTGAACACTATGTGCACATCTATAAGGGCAAAGAAAAAAGCATTTACTAGATTTGTGTACACAAAATTGCCTACAGCTTCACTTCACTGCCACAGAGTTTTAGAGATATTTAGTGGAAGCTTTGTTCAAAAGAAGTAACCGGAACGCATCTTTATCAATTTTTATTAATACAAAATTTCATAAAAAAACAAGTTATGTACATTAACACATCGCTTGGCCAATATTATAAATAAGCTTCTATATACAAAGTTGAACAGACAGCAAAAAGATAATACCCAAATGGACGCAGACTTTAGGGACAGACTTACTGCATGTTTATATTTTATTGTGTTATATTAATATTTTTCCACTAGAGAGATAGATATAGTGTAATATGTGTATGTATGTATGTATGTGTGTGTGTGTGTGTGTGTGTGTNAAAAAAAATGTGCATAAGACGGGAAAAAGTAGAATCTTACTACTTTGAAGGAAGTGTCTGAAGAAATATGAAGACATATTTTCCTTTAATTAAAAAAAGTGATGTATTTGCTCACTTACAGTATATTTGTGATGGAGACAAAGTTTCTTCTCTTTCTTGGAGATGTTTCTGGAAATAATTAGACGATAAATAAGCATAGAACAGTTATTTCTGTCATTTAAATAAGCTCTCTTATTGGCCATCTTCTACAAAGAAAAAAAACCCGCTCATCTTCTCATCCAATTTGTAAAAATCTTCTTTAAGGCCATGAAAAAAAGCATGTCTTTTTTGTGAGGAATAAAGTGTTTCCTCAGGACAGTACTAGCTTAAAAAGAATTGAGAACATCTTTTTTTTTCTTCGAACAGATTTTCTGTAAAGTGGAATAAATGGGACAATGTGAGGAAAGCATTTAGAGAAACGATTCCCCAATTTGTTACAGGGTTTTTCCTTTTGGATAGCTTTCCTCGGCATTTTATTTTTAATCATTTTAGTGTTGTAGTATAGGAATTAAAATGAAGAAAACCTGCTTCATGTACCTACATAACTTTTCAGTAAGCTTTTTTGAAAGGAAACCCTATTTTGGGAGGGAATTTGTTATCTGAATCTTTTAAAATTAGCAGAGAAAATTTCCGTTCAGAAGTGATTCAAGTCTGGGCAGGACAACACTGTTTCTCAAACCAAGCATGATTAAAACACGAACCAGATAAGCAGAAATGCATCATTTTCACAGTCAGATTGGATCAGCTTAATAGTTTTTGAATGTAATGGAAAATTTACCAGCCATATTTGAAGAAACTCTTGATGTTCAACAGAGCAGAGTGAAGAGAGATGAAAGCAGTACTTAATCTTCAGGCAAAATGCATACAGTGCATATGTCATCTTTTCTATAAGGTACATATATGCATATATTTGAATAACACATTTACCATATGTGTCAGCCCTGCTTTCCCCCTAAATACAGTTTGGGAAAGTTGTATCCAACTATTCCCACATTCATGTATGAGCCTACAGGATAGAAATGCAACTTTATTGGATTCTATGCTGTTAGGTATGAATATTATGAAAGGAGAATATGGAAGTCATGCTGTGTAGCAAATTTCATTTGCATGACATAAAATAGGTAAAAGGAACTTTTGACCTCCAGATGTTACTTTAGCCAGAACATAAGCAACATCTGGACAGTTAAAGGTTGACATGCTTGATACAAACACTTAACAATTAGCATGTTGCACTTTATATGGAAACTCAACATGGAATTGTTCCATGCTTACCAAAAACTCTCCATTTAGATTTTGAACTACTAAACAAACAAATGGGAACTACATTTATTAGCCTGATTTAAATGTGCATTAAAACGAATGAAATGTACTCAAGTGGATTAGACCTGCAAAACAGCAGCAAACTATTTTCTGATACCCAGAGCCTTTACATATTTTTCTAATCTATATTTGTTCTGCTGCTAAGAAAGAATGCTATACAACACACTTATTTTAAAACAAAAATTGAAGTGAAATTGCTATAGGCATCCCACTTCCACAGTGAATTATACTGAGTAAGCACTATTGTCAATATTATGTTTAGATGCTTAAGGAAAAAATCACTACAGCTCAACCATTATTTAGTTTCATAAGTTGTACCTCATTTGAAATACAAAATGTAAGGGCACATGGTTCATTCATATAGGAGTTTAATAATAATAATAATAATAATAATAATAATAATAATAATAATAATAATAATAATAATAATAATAATAATAATAATANAGACACACATAGATAGATAGATAGATAGATAGATAGATAGATAGATAGATAGATAGTCTCTCTGTTTTAAAGCATTATGCATCCAGATATGCAGTCAGTAATAATGTAAATAATGTATCCAGGAAAGTAATAATTTGTTAAAACTTGATGTTACTATTCATTCATAGTACAGAACGTTGTGTATAAATATTCCGAAGAATAAAAGGATGACAAAGGAACAGTAGAAACATCAATATATTAAATAATTCAATTAAATAATTCAATTTAGAATATTCAGCATTCACAGATTTCCTCATGTGATACAAATATATATTTCTTAGTGTAAGTAAATAAAACTTACAACTCCTACAAAGCAGAATATGGGTTTATTTTTTCTATGCTTTGAAACAGAATGGTATACATCAAAAATTTAAAAAAATCAATCCAGAGTTCTTAAATTATCTCTAATTTGAAGAGTTAATATAAATTGTATACTACTTGATGTCAAAGCTGTAATATACAATAGTAGCACAACTATGAAAGAAAGCTCCAATGCAAATAGTAGAATTAGAATCAGATAAGGAGTTTAATACTGAGTATGTTCCATTTTTGTTTTTTAATCGAAGACCATAAATAATGCCTTAACAAGTTTTCTTCTAGCTGTTGACAAATAAGAGAAATTTGTATTTGGCATTTTAAGTAAATTTTATCATAGTTACATCCCAAACTTAAATTCTATGGAAAGAGGTGGTCTATTTTGCTGCTTAAAAGGAATGGTAAACTTACAAGATTTTGACCCAAGCAATCTATAGCATTTCAATTTAGTAAAAGATATCCCAAGTAATCAGATATACCATATCCCAATCGACTTCGCGTCTGCATTTTCTCTTGTGAAGCACAAAAATTATGAAATGTAGAACACCTGTTCATTATCAAGAATTCTTGCAACAGACACTGTAAAGATGGCTGTTTGATGAATAAGCTCTGATTAAATCCTTGATCTTCTGTATTTCTTATTTCTTCTACAACTGAATTCTCAAGCAGTTCATTTTCTTCACAGAAGTGAATTCATTTCAAGACATGACAGTCTATAATGTCCCAGCAGGAACTTTCAACTTGATATCCCAATCAGCTGTTAGTACTGTCAAGACAGAAATCATGATTTATGAACATGATTAGTGTAAAGAATTACTGCCAAGCTTTCGGGAGAAACTAATGCAGCTGTTTAGGAGACGTGGCAAAAGGAATAATCACAGTCTACCTTTGTCCAGAATAAGCAGAGTTAAGCTCTATTTTGGGTTGAACACTTCTATATAAACTACAGTTATAATTAGCATCAGAATGAACCTCAAGAAGCACATTAGCTTGAGACTAAATTCTAAAGAACATGTGTACTCCAGGAGAGAAACAGTTCTTACCTGCTGGCTGATAAGGTTTTTCTGCCTACATTTGGAGGTGTTGGCTCACTGTGAAAAAAGCTTTTTATCCACCAACACTTTTCAAACATTTCAGGTAAGCCTATAAATAGAAGATGCAAAATATCCATTGTATAATAAAGCTTTAAAGCACAAAGAAAAGTATTACTTTTAATGAAGCAGCAATATTGGCAAAAAATTATATATATATATATATATATATATTACCGTGGTGATTTTTTTCCTGGTCTGAGAATGATGTGGGATCAGAACAGCAAGATGAACTGCTTGAAGAAACACTGGACTCAGAATTCAATCGTGCTATATGTGAAAATAGAAACATTACACCCTATTTCAGAAAGTGGAGAGCATTTTATTAAAAAGTAAACTAGTATTTAGTTTTCCTTAAAATTCAACATTTTATATATTCCTGTTCAAAACCTAAAATGCCTTTGATAATGCAGATGATCAGACAACATGTGTGCTATGACCATTTTGCCAATCAGATTATGATCCCTTCTGAAAAGAGGATAGCCATTTTATGTATGGAAGGCTAGATCGTATAATTTTCAACTAAGAATGAAAGGAGAATAGTTCTTTCACTTTTCTTAAATAAATATAATGCAAACCTATTAGCTGTTGTTTTCAGTTTTCTATAACTCAAGAAATAAAGGTCAGGTGACCTAACCAACTTCAGGACTGACAGTTTGTCAATAACACACTCACTAGCTGGAGTTAGCACTATAACTATTCATATTCCATTCTGATGTTTGCATATTGGCCTTCAAGGAGCTGCTGGTTTATTTTTATTCATGCACATATATTAGTATCTTATCAATTAATAGTGCTCACGTTCAAGTGCACAAATTTATCATAGTCTGTGATAAGACTGGATCACATCCAAAGATTGTACATTAAAGACATGAGATGGATTGCAATAAATAGAAAATTAAATTATTCACAAACTGAATAAAGGAAGAGACTGAAGAAACTCCTGGTTGTTGCTAGGCTAGCTAGGAAGGTTAAATATCAAACTCTATGGCAATATAAAGACTATACAGGGCACTCTCTTTTATACAGAAGGAAATCAGTTTTAATATCATGCAAATATTGAGAACACAAAAATCATCCTTGATTTCAGGGGACAATACTCACTTCTGTAGTACTGGTTCTTGGCTAAAAGGCAGCCAGCTGAAGGCACAGTTGCCATTGTAATGTTTTTGCAGAATAACAAATTGCCAGGGCACCCTGCAGGTTGAAAGAAAATGGGAAAACTCCATATTACTTTTCCATAGCTTATGGATAGGAAATCATATTGCCTATTTGCATAACAATACTGAGTGTACCTCTATAAGGCTGGGTTTTGTAGACGGAATATATTTAACATACCATATATGTGGATTCATTTATTTGACTTATACTTTGGCTTTTTCATGCCCACGCCTTGAGATTAATTCTTCTTATATAAAAATAAGCCCATCTATTTTGTTCTCCTGTAAAAATGTAAGATGGGGACAGCAACTGGATCCCCTCCTGCTATTTTTGATTACAATTCCCACAATCCCTTACCCTGCTAGCTGTCCTCCTCAATTTGTATTGGCAGCAAATAAACACACTTGCAATTGGAAAAATTCTTTGGAGTCTCACAAAAGACATGATGAATAGTTTATCACAGTGTCTATGGAGATTCCCAGTCACCCAGGTCATGGTTTTCCCAAAGATGCTTTTTTTTCCCTTCAAGAGGCAACTTGACGTCATGTGTTTTTGTTTTTTGAAGATATTTTGCTTCTCATCCAAGAAGCTTCCACTGGATGGTGGGGAATGGAAGGATTTACATGAAAGTCCAGTTGCTTCTTGAAAAAAGCACCTTTGGGACAATTTACAGCAATGTTCCTCAACCTGGCTGAGAAATTTGGGGAACTAAAAATCCATGCATTTTAAAGTTGCTGAAGTTGAGACGCACTGGTTTAGAATTTGTCTGTCTCAGTTACTTCTGCTGTCTGTTTGACTGAAAGAGTCCACTACCTTTCATCCCTTTTTCCAGGATCTGAAGACGCTCAGAAATGCAGCCTGAGACTATACTTCCAGAATACAAAGTATGCTCCGTGTGCTGCTAACATATTACCCCTTTGAACAAGCAGTGGTTTCTTCGCCGAGAGACCATTCTGTGTAGGATTTAAGTCTTACTCCCACTCATATATTCAGGAAATGTGCTTAAAATTCCTCAAAAGCCCTAAGAAACTAAAGGCCAAGTTGCTTTTATAGCTTTTTCTTCTAAAGAGCCCCGTTTCGGATTAACTAGTCCCAACACGCAACCCTCGTTCAGTCTCCGTGAAATCTCTGCAGAAGAATTTTCCAGCTTTTAAACAACAACAACAACAACAAAAGGATCGTATAAAGTCGCTTGCTGAAGTTACCTCGACAGAAAACTTCAGGAAAGAATTTGTCCTATTTGAAAATGTGGATTTGCATTCCTAGCATTCCAAGACTAACAAAGAGATCTAATTACCTGTTATCGTGTCGCACCGCGGCCTCCTGGAACCCCTTTTCACTTTTTTTCGGGCAACCAGATCCCCCCAAACCTGCGTTATGTCCCGGGAGAGCAATAAAGCGGGGTCGCAGAAACGTACCGGTAGCAGGAACGCAGCGAGTTTACCAAAAAACCGTCCGCAAGCGCACCCTGAACTTCCCATGCCTGACTCTAGGGCTGGCTTTATATAGAAAAACGAGGGGCATTGAAACTTGGCCAGGCGTCTGGAAGGGGTGGGGTGAGCGAAGTCTCCCCGTCTCTGGAAGTTTTCCTTTGCTCAATAGGGTAAAGTTTGCTCCCTTTTTCCTACCCCCGCCCTGCTGGACTGGTTGATTGTATGACGACAAGCGCAACAACAACAAACATAGGCCACACCGTACACACGCGCTAGGCGATTGACTCGTGGGAGAAGAGCGCATGCCCTTCTGTCGGGAAAGGTTTGGCAATTTCGGGAGAACTGACGAAACGACCAGCTTCCTGGGTTGTTCACGTGGAGCAGGTTGATTTTATGGATGGCCTTTGTGGTTTAGCCCAGGGTTTCTCAATCTCAACAACTTTTAAGATATGTGGACTTGCTACCTGCGGCATTCTGGGAATTGAACAAAGATGATTAGGGAACTGCAAGATAAAACATGAAGAACTGTTGCAGGAACTGGGTATGTCTAGTTTAATGAAAAGAAGGACTAGGTAGCAGTGATGATAATGTTCTAATATCTCAGGGGTTGCCACAAAGAGGGAGTCAAACTATTCTCCAAGGCACCTGAGGGTAGGATAAGAAGCAATGGGTGGAAATTAATCAAGGAGAGAAGCAACTTAGAACTGAGGAGAAATTTCCTGACAGAACA